AAAGACCCACTGGATTGAGATTCGAGACAGAAAGAAAAAAGCCAAGACTCCAAAGTGCTTGTTCTGAAAGGGTTTATGATATATTAACAGGCGATTTACAGTGTGTCTGTAAGTGTTCAACAGACTAATTAAAATAAACGATTGAATAATGAGTGCGCAGAGGCCATTGTTTGACAGTTGGTGATATTAATGAAAGTTCAGCTAAAATCTATCTGGGCAGATGTTTATTTATGCAAAAAGTTAGTAAATGTAGTCTCCACTTAGCATCCATGTTTGAAGACTTTGAGAACCAAATTTAAGGGATGTTGCACAACAAATGATGGTGTTTTTACATTTATATTTGTCACTTTTATTTGTTTATTTTAATCGAAGTTTAGAGGCTTCATGGAAACCAGTATGAAATTCTTTGATACGAGTTTCCCCAAACATTGTTTCTGCATGCCATAACTCATCAGAAAAATGTCAAATAAACGTCACTTAGTCACATGAAAAGTGACGCTATGAAAAGTATAATTATCCAAAGCTGTACACAGAAACCCGCCCAAAAGCTTAACAAGCTTCCGTTGACTGTCCCTTTAAGTAAAGAACCTCAAACAGAGCCAGCAAGGAACCACATATTGAAGGAAGTCGTGTGTAAAATCGTAGTCGTCTTCGCATACCAGTCACTACAGTTTACAGTGAATTATTTGAAGAGTTTTGAAACATCTTCCCGATGTGGAACATGCTGTATCACATCCACGATTTATTATTACTGCTCAACAAAAACAACAAATGACGTTTGTACAGCGCCTTTCATATTGAGAGGACGTCCCGAGGCTGGACGGTTAAGGCGAATGATGGGCAATGAAGCCAGACGTAATCCTTTTCTCCCACCAATATCCAAGCTCCAATGGTTTCTCTAATGGGGGTGGTGGGGGTGGGGATGAGCAACGCAATGCGATCAATGTACAATTTCTTCCCTCTTCCCCCCCCACCACCCCCAAGTCCAGAGACACAATCCAATTGAGACACCTCTGCTAACAATCCATGTTTTCAACATGGAATCTTCTTGGTCTGTAAAACTTGGCTGGCAAGACCTTAAAAGGAAAAATAAATTCAATCAGTTCCACCCAGGACACAGAATTCAATTAGGGTAGAAGGGATCGACCATGGGTTAAGCAGCATAAAGAACATTGGCTTAATGTAGCAAATGATCTGAAGTGGAAAATGTTGTGCTGAAATCTTAAACGCTCACAAGCAAGTTTCTCGGTGAGCGCAATTTAAATTGTGTTAGAACATAGATAGGTGGGGTAAAACTACATTCTGTAGCTTTATCAATCTGTTGTGTAAGTTACACGGTGTCGCTATTTACCTGTTGCTGTGTGACAAACCCAATGGCAACAGAAGTAGATTATTGTTTTCAGACTATTTTTCACACCCAACTTAAAGAAATTGACTGCATGTACTAAAAAACACAGCTTAAATAGCTTAAACAATGTCAGTGTATTGAGTTCATATTTGCAATCCTCTACATCAGGGATGGCCAACTTGCTGCCCGTAACTATTCTACTCATGCTATGTCAAGTTGGCCCCTCTACACGACAAGCTCACAATCTCCAACACTCAGTCTGGTTTTTCCCTATAGCCAAAGTGAGAGAACGACCCTGAGATAATTGGGGCAAGGGTAACAAGGGTATTACTGGAACAGGCGTAGGACAAGCCTATAAGATATAGCCTGTAAAATAAATAAATCAGGCAGCTGTCAACTCATGGCATAAAATGCAGATGTAAAATTGTATACAGTAGTTTAGTTCTCAGTCCAGGGGATAAATCTATTGGTCATATAAAATTTAGGATTTTACTTGCCTGTTAAACAAAATTACTGTGAAAAGGGGATTCTATTAAACAATTATAAATCAAGAACATAGGAACAGGAGTACGCCATTTTGCCCCTTGAACCTGTTCCTCCATTCATGCCTGATCTGTATCTCAACTCCAATTACCCACCCTTGCCCCATATCCCTGTGGAGTCCTGTAGCTCAGTGGTTAGAGAACTCGCTTTGCAAGCGAGAGACCTGAGTTCAATTCCAGGCAGAGGGCGAAACCTCGGGCAAGTTTCCTTACTCCACACAGAGCCTAATAATAATCCCTCCAAAACCAAAACAGTAATAAATTGGTCATTTTCAATCTACGACTGTTTGTGGGACATTGCTGTGCGCAATTGGCTGCCGCGTTCGCCCACAAATATACAGTCAATTCACTTTACAGTGTGTTCTGTGAAGCGCTTTGGAACGTCCTCCCGACGTGAAAAGCGCTATATCAAATGCAAGGATTATTATTAAGGATTATTATTATCCCTTGATTCCCTTACCTAACAAATGTCCATCCAACTCAGTCTTGAAAATATGAATGGATCCAACATCTACAGCCTTTTCGGGGAGAAAGTTCCAGATTTCACTACCCTTTGGGTGAAAAACTGCCTCCTGATTTCACCCCTAAATGGCCTGGCTCTAATTTTAAGGTGATGCCCCCTTGTTCTGGCTAGCCTCCACACAACAGAGGAAATAGTTTCTCTGTAGCTACCCTATCGATTCCCTATATTATTTTAAAAAATTACCCTTCAGATACTGCAGAAAAACAAGCAAGCAGCAAGTCTGAGGCCTTGCGCCTATCATAGCATTGCGCTGGAAACTGCGTGAATTCAGAGGTCAGCTGTAAACCTTCAGGTACTAATATTATTGCCTAGTCCGGCTCAAGTTCCTTCAGCCATCTTAGGTTTCCCGATACTTCATTTAAAAGAGATTATGAATATTAATCGACTGCTAATGCACAGTTCAGGTAAGCTATCCCCTTGCTAGTACATTTTATTGTACTGCACAATAACGAAACGTGATCCGCTCAAGTTGAAATTTTGTCACAGTTCTATTGTTCCCGCAAGCTTTTGAAGTTCAAATATTTGAGCTAAATCGATAACAGTGATACCTGAACACCTGGATGATGTGTTGGGACAATGTTTTAAGGGGTATCAATTTTCCAACTATGAATAGACTAGAGCCACAAATATTTTCGCTCTTTTTGTCCACGACCGTCAAGACACGGATGAAAGTGCGGAGCGCAGAACTTTTTCCCTCCCTCGTTCTCCATTTCACACCTGATATCCCAACCGCAGCTAGGGTGTGATTGAACACAGCTCTTCTGGTGGGTAGACCTGAATGACTGTTCATGCTGAGGCTTCCATTGCCAAAATTATGCAGCAATTTTAGTAAAAAGAGGCCGAAAAGAGACAAAAATCTATCCAGGTTGCCTTCCACCATCCCGTGACAAGCCGTGTCCCAAACTATGCATCGTATCCCGGAATGTTATTGCCCGAATCTGTTCTTGAAAGAATCGCCCACAAAAACGCAGAGTCACTACACTTTTACAGTATATCCTGTGAAGCGCTTTGAGGCGGCTCAAAGACGTGATCAGGTGCTAAATCAAAATGAAAGGATTGTTATCGTTATAGTTCACTTGTTTGGGGTAAATTAGATGCCGTGTCGGTCACTACGCCGGACTGCAATTACCTCCCCCACCTACCCGACCTCCCCCTAAAACTCTCCGAACCCGTACGCAACCGAGGCGTCAGGTTCGACCCCCGATTATCCTTCCTTCCCCCACATAATTCCCCCACCCTCACCAGCACCGCTTTCCTCCACCTCCGGCGCATCTCCTGTCTCCGCCAATACCTCACTCCAAAAGCCGCTGGTCGCCCCACCTTTTGGATCTCCATCGCACAGAGCCCTCGCCTCGCTCTCGCTCCCTTGCTTCCTCCTTCGAGGCACGCCTCAAGACTCTCTTCTTCGACTGCAACATTGGTGAATCTCTTACACCGACCCTCCATCCCTCCCGATTCCAAACCCCCCCCCGCTCGGGTCCAAATTCCTGATTGCCCTGCGCCTTCGGGGACGCCCTCCCGACATGAAAGGGGCGCTGGTGTGAAAAACTTCAGAATGTTTTAACTCTGGTCCGTGCCTTTGCCACCGCCCCGGCTGGGCTATTCGGACTCCCTCCTCGCCGGTCGCCCATCCACTACCATCCATAAAATCCAACCCATTCAGAACTCTGCCGCCCGCATTCTCACCCGCACCGAACCCCTCTCCCCCGACCCCCCCCCCCCACAGTCCTGGCCAGACCGCACCGGCTGCCTGTCCCAGAGAGGATCCACTTGAAGACCCTCACCCTCGTATTCAAGTCCCTGCGCTCCTCCGCGCCCCCCCCCCCAAGACCTCTCTGACCTCCTCTCTCCTCAGCACAGTACCCGTTGCCTCCGTTCCTCCGGGTTTGGCCTCCTCCCCCACCTCCTCGTCCCCCGAGGCCTCCGCTCCACCCTCGGCGGCCGCGCCTTCGGCCACTGCGCCCCGAGGCCCTGGAACAGCCTTCCTCACTCCCCCCTCCTCCCTTCCCATTTTCAGGTCTGGGCTGAAGACCTTTCTTTTCGACCGCGCCTTTGGTCACCTTCCCCCCCCCCCCCCCCCCCCGGGCTCGGCCCCCAGGGATCCGTTTGCTGTGAAGCGCTCTGAGACGTCGTCCGTCGGGCGCGGGGAGGGGGGGAGGGGGGGGAAGGGGGCGCTCCTAATATAAACCCAAGTGGTCGTCGTTGGGGTCGCGAAGCACTTTCTCCCGAGTCCTCCCGCTCGGCGTGCGGAGTGCGCGTGCGCAGTGGCGGGGGCCGCGCGAGCGGGCGGGCGGGCAGCCGTTGGGGCGCACGCGCAGTGGCGGGGAGCGCTCGAGCGGGCGGGCGGCCGTTGGGGCGCACGCGCAGTGGCGGGGAGCGCTCGAGCGGGCGGGCGGGCGGCCGTTGAGGCGCACGCGCAGTTGGCGGGACACGTCAGGCGAGCGGTGGGTGAGTGAGGGGGGCGGGCGGGCGCGGCGCGGCGCACGCGCAGTGGGCGGGGACCGCTCGCGCCAGAGCGCGGCGGGGGGCGGCGGCCGCGCGAGGCGCATGCGCGGCGGCGCGGCCGTTGGGGCGCATGCGCGGTGCGGCCCGGCCGAGGAGCGCGCGGGTTTTCAAACCGTCAACAGGAAAGGGAAGGGAAGGAGCCTCGCGGGGGAGAGGCGGCCACCGGGGGCGGGGGCTCGCGAGCGGCTTTTTTTTACCTCAGGTAACCGGCCGTTTTGGGGGCGGGCGAGACCACTCACTCCTCGTTCACGGGACACGGGAGATCAGGGCTCTTCCTCCCTCCCCCCCACACAGTTAACCCCCTTTTGTTCGGGAGGTTTATCGGGGCCTTTCATTTGCGCCCCTTCCCCCCCCCCCCACACACACACCCCTCCCTCCCCACCGCGTCCAGTCAGGACCGCGGCCTAGTCCCGCCGCCCCGCTTCAGCCCGGGCTTTGCGGTTGGTGCTCGTTATGGACGCTGTCGTGCGAGATTATTTTTAATGTAATAACACAGAGTGGGGGGGGAGAGAGAGAGAAGAGAGAGAGAGAGGCAAAGCAGTTAGGGAGTGGGTGGGGGGGGGGTGTAGGAGGAGGTGTCGAGCTGCGATTAATAAATAAAGGGGGGGGGAGGGCAGAGGTTTTCTTCCAGAATCCTCGCCCGACACGTCCTCCCCACTATTGTGCTGTAAATGACAATAGTTTTTATTTTATTTTTAAAACAAATCCTCGCGTTTGATAGATACGGCGCCTCATCGCCTCTTCCGAGACGTTTCCGATCACAATGCCATAAGGTCCCCCATCTCAGCTTCACGCTGCGGTGTTTTTTTTGTATGTTTTTTTTTAAAAAAAAAGCAACAAAAAAAAAGGAAATCCGAGTCCGGTGTTCAAAGTCTCTTCTCTTCAGACTGCTCTTAAACTCTGAGGTGCACTGGGGTCGGATTACGGTTGGGATAATATAATCCAGTGCCCTTTCAACAACCACAGTCCATATATTTGAGACGGCGCCTTATCACGTCTTCGAGACGTCGCAAAGCGCTTCAAGGAATGCGCCGTCACAAAGCGACCTGGCTGTGTAATTTGGTGGGCGAAGCGCTATGGCGTTGAGGTTGTGTTGAAATGCCGCGCAGAAGATACCGTAAAATGAACCGAACGTGCGGATTTTGTGTGGTGGATCGCACAGCAGAGGCCCACAATACAGTGTTGCTTTCAGTTCTGCTGCCTCGAGACACACAAACAAACAAACTACCTGCGTCAATAACAGTAATAATAATAATCCTTCTATTTGATATCGCACCTTATCACGTCGTTGAGACATTTCAAAGCGCTTCACAGAATATATTGTACAATGGATTGACTGTGTAGTTTGTGGGCGAGATGCAGCGGCCAGAATAAAGTCTAGAATAGAGCCTTAAAGACTGAAATGTAAGGACCAGCTGAGATGTATAATAATAATAATTATATTATTACATAATTAGTATGATTATTATTAATATAATAAATTATATCATTATTACAATTGAGATGTGTAGTCTGGAAATAAGTGGGTTAAGGAATTTGTGTTTACCCAATATTTAGTGTTACAGTATACCAAATGTAAACCAGACAGTGAGCAAGGAAGTAGGGCCAGCTGGAGTAGTAGTAAGAATAATAATCCTTGTGATTGATGAAGCTCCTTTCACTTCAGGAAGATATCTCCGCACACCTCAGAGGATTTACTGCAAAGTGTAGTGACTGTATTTTGTGAATTTTAACTTCCCTTTAATCTTTATGAGAATTAAATTTTACTCTGCTCTGATTCCATTCCCTTATTATAAAAATAATATTATAATAATCTTTGTATTTGGTATGCACTTTTCACGTCTTCTAGACATCTCAAACACACAAATCTTTTTCTTTCATCACCTGATGTTGCAAATTGGTACTTGAACTAACTACCTCATGTCTTTTATTGCCCCTGCTACACACTGCTTAAAAAAAGCTAATGTTTAACTGAGTTCAAGAACTAGTATTTACACAATACGTCTCACACAGAATGAACATGTTAAAGCACTTCACAGAGATAATGGGGGGAGATCACTGATTAATTCGGAGAATTTGAGGGTGAAGTGCAAAGGTTATTTGAAGGGATTTGAAAGCGGGGGAAGAAAGAGCGACTCCCCAATGTGGTTTGAGGAGAAAATGTAAAAGAGTTTATCCATATAGCTGAAAGCTGATGGCTGTGTTTTTTTAGTTACAGGTCTATAAGGAAAATATCACTGATGTCACATTCTTGTTCATTGTAATCTATGAGCTACGATCATGGCTGCTGTCAAACAGGAAGAAGGAAACGTGACTGTTGTCGTCCGGGTGCGGCCCGAGAGTCACCGGGAGCAGGACGGCAATCACCACACAGTTGTGCAGGTGGTCGATGAGCAAGTTCTGGTCTTTGACCCGAAGGAGGACACAAGCGAAGGTGTGTTCGCTGAAGTGAAGTTCAGAGGCAGAGCAGCGCCGAGTCGGAAAAACAAAGATCTGAAGTTTGTATTCGACAGGGTGTTTGATCAAAGTGCAACACAAGAAGACCTCTTTGAATTTGCAACTAAAAATATTTTAGAAGGTGTTCTGAATGGCTACAACTGCTCAGGTAAAGAGATAAGAACTCTCTATAAAGTTCAGAACCGTGTGTCTCTTTGGTACGTCATGAATTACATTTGCTCACTTTTTCTCTACGCCAACAGTATCCAGTTTCCTTCGTTTTAGTCTAGCATTTATGGTATTTACAGTGCTTCAGACCTTTCATATAGGTCTCCAGCAATGCCAACATGCTTCTAGATGCCTTCTAAATATTTTGAATTCACAATTTAAAACATTCTAGATCAGGAGCAGTTTTATACCAAAAAGACTGCTGAGATGCTCACAAGATACGGCCTGAACAAGTAACCTAAGGAATGGGGTGAAGAGGAACTATTAATTTATTTCCATAACAGTTACTGCACCTAGGAGGGGTCACGTAGAGGATTGATTTGAGAGATGTCTCCAGCTTTATATCTCCACAACAACAGCAAGATTATATTTGTATAGCGCCTTTCACGTCAGGAGGATGTCCCATGGCGCTGGACATGGTACAGCATTTCAGACAAGTGCTTTTCAGGTTTCTGCAGTTCGTAGCACCTTTTTAAATCATAATGGGGTGGTGGAGCGGAAATGGAAGAAGACAATCGAGACGGTTACATTCAGTAAAATAAGAGGACTGAATCTTAGTCTCGGATGCCTCTTAAAGTGGGACCAGACATAGAACAGAGTGCCAAGTGAGATGGAAACTGGTGTAGACTCGGAGCCCGGCGTTGATATTTTTTGTTGTTAAGTCTCTGCATATGGTGCATATTCTGTGTTAAAGCAAGAACATTGGGTTACTTTATGGCGAGTTTGTGCGAGTGACCCTCGAGCAAGTCGCTGTTAGTGATTGTGGCACTCAACCAAAAGTTAGTACCCCTGGGATAACAGGAATCTGGTTAAAATTGTTTGAGTTTAGTAATGGTCTGTGTGGTACAGCCAATATTCTGTTTGAATACGTTCGTAATTAGTCTTGGAATGTTTGATTACTGTTTGTGTTAACCCGTTCTGGTGGGTGCTTTATTAGCTACGATTGAGGGAGCATTACAATTGATCCATTACTAGTTGGAAATACTTTAAAGATAAAAATGAGCCGGTGATTGTATTTTCCCTGCACGCTTACGCTGATGTAAATCTGGTGTCGATTCAGATATGGGGTAATGTACCTTTAGTTGAATGCTTAGGCATTACTAATAGGCATTTCTGCCAATTTAGATCAATTAGTGCAAAGTTCAAAGACTTTTCATAGTAGAGTAACAACTCATGGCTTCAACTCTTGAATCTTCAAATGTCTTCCATTATTTTGTTGAGGAGTTCCATTGGGCAGAAATAACCAAAGTATTACAAATTTAAAATTGTGAAATAAAATTTCATTCAGCCTATAAAGTTTGTTCCTTCCAGCATGCCATGTACACACTTCAAATGCCTACGCTTGTGACATCTGTGGGGAATGCTGCCTCATCTGTCTCAAAATTGGCGGTCTCAATATGAAAGGGTGATACTTTTAGTAAAGGCTGCTTGTTTGCTTGTTATCAAGCGAGTTGTGTAATCTTGTCCTTCTATTGTGCAGTCTTTGCCTATGGTGCAACAGGAGCTGGAAAAACTCATACAATGCTGGGCACTGCAGAGCAGCCTGGAGTAATGTACTTCACAATGGTGGAGCTGTACAAGAGAATTGAACAGCTTAAAGATGAGAAAAGCTGCGAAGTGGCAGTCTCGTATTTGGAGGTAAGATGAAAAGAAATCCAGCCCGAAAGATTCAGGCTTTTGACTTTTTAAATCATTGCACGAGAGGATTAACATAAGAAAGTATCATTCTTTGTTAAGAAAATTAGAGGAACATTACACGAGGAGGGTAAGTGGAGTCAAAGTATTGACATATGTACTTGCATATGAAGTGTATTAAAGACATCTACAGAATTAGATACCCACATGCAAGTCTTATACATAGTTCTCATCCAGGTGCATTGCAATTGTGTGCCTTTTTAGGCCTCAATCATTCAAATTCCAAAAGGAAGATTTCACTGAGGCATCCAGCAGCAGTGTTTATTAATAATCCCTACAATTGATAGTCAAAGCACTTCATAGGGTTTACTAGAAAGTTAATGGCTGTAAATTTTGTAAGTGCAAATACAGGAGTTGATAACTGATGCATCACTGATCGCCCACAAATATACAGTCAATTTACTTTACAGTGTGTTCTGTGAAGCGCTTTGGGACATCCTCCCGACATGAAAAGCGCTATATCAAATGCAAGGATTATTATTATCTTTTACTGAAAATTTGATTTGTGATATTGTGAAAAGGTGTCAGTTCAGTGATCACAATTCAACTGAAATCATATCTGAACTTGCTGGATAGAAAGAGCAGATATCCTGGTAGTTTTTACTATTCTCTGACCCATTGTAAAGTCCTAACTGTCACCCTTATTGCTAGGCTAACTCAGCATTGGACCTGTATAAAACCGAGGAGCTGGTGTGATGTCTCTTATTGTGTTGGTTATTTTTCTCCATGATACCAGGTGTACAACGAACAGATTCAGGATCTGCTTGAACCCAAAGGTCCTTTGGCTTTGAGAGAGGATCCTCAAAAAGGAGCAGTCATCCAGAGGTTGAGCTACCATCAGGTAAGAGACAGTATTTATAATAATGACCCTTGCATTTGATATAGCGCCTTATCATGTCTTCGAGATGCCTCAAAGCGCTTCACAGAAAATATGTAAAAGGATTGACTATATTTTGTAGTCTTGCTACTGTTACACTGTTTACAGGTGTCTTTTAGTCATGTACATGCAGCATTTTGGAAAGTGTAGATATATACTGATTAATCGGAGATCAGGTACAGATCAGCCATGATCTAATAAATGGTGGAATATGCTTGAGGGGCTGAATGGCCTACTCCTGTTTCTATGTTAGCACTTGGAATGTGCTAAGGTTGTTGTGCATACTGTATGGTTAAAGGATGGGGCCTAATGGATAAGGATTACAGCCGGTATGTAATTGGGTTGATGGGTGCTGTTTTGATGTACCTTTTGAATATTTTTAGTTAAGGTTTTACAGGGCTTCTTTCACCTTTCAGATCAGTTTATTTACCTGTGAAGGAGAGGGTTGAGTGGCGGGCAGTTGTTTCTGAAGTCAACGGATTTGCTCCAACTTGCTCTCTCCCTCTCTTCGTTCAAGGTCTATCTCAGGACCTAACTCTTTGACCAAGCAGTTAGTCATCTTTCCCTTCCCCACCCCCTCAGCTCCCACCCCCAGCTGGGATGCTGAGCAGGTTATGTTAAGTGCTTGGCAACTCCTCCCAATGTAAGAGGTGCAGTCTAAATATCAATTTATGTTGTAGTGTGTGCACTCAGCTAGTTTCATCTATGGATTTCGTCAGTGAGAGTCTAAATCAAATTGATTGAACTTGGTACTTTGCACCTTCCTTGATAACAATCTAAAAATAACTCGGAAATGATCAAGTACTGTGTGTCTGATCTTCTCGCTAACCTGAGGTATCAGATTTCTCAGTGGGTATACATTTACCACAACATTTGAGGCATGTTTTGTAACATCTGTGCCTCAGACTTTTTGCATTCAAAAGTACTTCTCCATCTAGTACGCTTGCCTTTAAGCAATGTGCCAGTAAATCTCATTCACAAGTAATCGAGAGTAAGATAAGTATAAGCAGGTCTCTTCAGTACCAATCGTTTATTCTGAATGCTTATGGGGATTGCTCACTGTCCTAGTAATTCCTAAGATGTTGAATTCATTAATTGTCTTCCTGCTGCCTTCTGATTGACTGCTTCTTGTTCTGTTTGCCCTACAGCCTAAATCTGCTGCAGAACTTTTAGAAATGCTGGCAAGTGGAAACAGAAACAGGACACAGCATCCAACCGACGCCAATGCCACATCCTCCCGATCCCATGCCGTATTTCAGGTCAGTAAAGAATCAAAACCAAACCATCAGAACTAGAAACAAATATATAAAACATTTTATGCGCAGCTCCGTCATAGATTTAAGAACCTGCAGAATATGAATTCAATTGGAATTGCCTGATTGTTCCCTCTGTCGGTTATAAATTGCCCCTTTATTGATTCACACCTCAGTTGTTGCCTGTTCAGGATTAAACTAACTAAATTAGACTAGTATGTAGTGCAGTTCATGTATGTTCCAATGTACTCTACTGAACCATTGCATGGTGCTGATATGTGCCTTGGTTTCTAATGAGCGTCATGCACTAAGTGAAAGTTAAGTTCTTGACTTTCAGATAAAGTTAAAAGCAACAACTTGCTTTAATATTATGCCTTTCGCATCATACAAACTTCTTGAATAACTTTCCCTGCTTTGTAGAAGGAAGTCAGGGACATGGACAGAGACTCATAAAGAGAAAAATAAACACTGCAGTTTGGAAGAAAATCTGACAGAAATAAACAGGTCTTAGAACAAGGGGAGTGCATTGGACCAGAGAGAAGCAAGTGTGAGGAGGGATGATATTTCCTTTGACTGACAGGGTACAAGTTTGGTTGGGAAGCAGATGCTGTATTTGCTGTATTTTATGAGGCTACCTGATATCTTGAAGCATAAAATTGTTTAAGAAATCTCTGACAGGTCCACGTGAAGCAACAAGATCGTATCGCCGGCCTCAGCAAGAACCTGCGTATGGCTAAAATGTGCCTGATTGACTTGGCTGGTTCCGAACGAGCGAGCGCCACAAAGACATGTGGTTCACGCTTCAGAGAGGGGGCAAACATCAATCGCTCACTGCTTGCGTTAGGAAACGTGATTAATGCTCTTGCAGACCTCAAGGTACGACAGATTATTTTATGAATTTGTACCGTTCGGGGGTGGGGGAACCTGAACTTTTCTCTTTGTTTCCAAACAAAGTCAGATTATTGTAAATAGCATTGAAACACAAAGTTATTTTTGTGCATGGATGTGCGAAAATATGTGGCATATTTCATCATAGAGGAGATCACAGCTGAGCTCATGGAATGTAAAGCAACTGAGAATGACTCTTCTCTTCCTATTGACTCTTGCCCGGGTGCTTTCCGAATGGTACAGGCAACCCTTAAGTACCTCAAATAATTTGCCAACCTACATGTTGGACCATTGAGGACTTCCAACTCTGATCCCACAGCATGCGAGGCAACTGAGAAAAGGATAACATGCAATAGTTGGTGGCTCCCTGATACTTTGGGTTGAGTTTCAAGCGTTTGAATATTTTTACCCTGAACAATCTCCGGACGTTGCTGAGATAATGTAATTGAAACCAAATCCGCAGCGTATTCTTTACCTCCTGTCGCAAGTCGATCTTGTTTCGGTATCAAAAGCCAATTAAATGTTTAGTGGCCGGAGTCAGTTTACACTCGGGTACAAGGCTGAGATGAGAGAAACATGATGTTGCCTTATGAGCTACTGAAAATAGGCATGCTCTTCATTTGCGGGGGAGAGTTGAGAGAGTTGTGCTGAGTTCTTGAGCATCTGGTCCAAGTGCAGTGCCTTTGTCGGGAGGGAAAGTGGGGGAGACACTGACACACCGGAAATAGCGTTCACAAGTTGATATTATACCATACTTTGCTAAGAAGTCTGGCGGGGCGGTTTCAGAGCAAGTTATTAACGAAAGCTTTTCACTTTTTCGTCGTGCTCAGAAAAAAAAGGCTCACATCCCCTACCGAGATAGCAAATTGACCCGACTCCTTAAGGACTCCCTGGGGGGTAACTGCCAGACGGTGATGATTGCTGCCATCAGCCCTTCAGCCATGAGTTACGAAGACACGTACAATACACTGAAGTACGCAAACCGAGCAAAGGATATCAAATCCTCAGTAAGTTATTCTCACATACCTTTAGTACCTCGTATGTTTGATGAAGAGGAATATCAAAAGGTATCTGAAGTGAGCAGGAAAACAAGATAATAATCATTGCATTTGATACAGCTTCGAGATAAAACTGGCTGACTCATGAGGAAAGAACTTCATGTGGTCAATAACTTGTTTCTATGGTTTATGATCACATAGAATGATACGAAATGGAAACGGGCCATTTAGCCCAACTAGTCTGTGCCATATCACTCTAACATTGCAGCACAGAAACAGGCCATTGGATCCCAAATTTATCAGTGCAGAGTAAGTTGACCAAATGTTGATCTGTTGACAAAGCCCTCCTTAATCCCATTACTCAGCATTCTCGGTGTGTTTGAGTTACAAAAGATTTTGATAAGTTTTCAATCACTCACTACTGGCATCTGGTTTTAAAGTCCAAAGTAGACCAAAATAAGGTTAGTCCTCAGTTAAAAAAGGTTTGTACAGTGTGGTCGTCGAAAACGATGTTGAGCAGGGGACCTTTATGTTCGTCAATGAGATGTGGTAAATTTGATAGCATCAAATTGAATAAATCTCTCGGGCTTTTCGGATGAAGTCATGGGAAATGAAAACATCATGGTCCTTTGAGATGTGTAGTTTAGTGGTTAGTCCTGTAGCTTAGCGGTTGAGCACTTGCCTTGCAAGCAAAATGATCCCTGGGTTGGATTCCTGGGCGGACAAAACCATAGCCAAGTTTCCTTACTCCACACACCTCTGTTTATCCTGTAAGTAGGAACCCGGTTGTTAGTCGATCATCGGATCACTTTTCTGGGGCTGATGCATGACTGTTTATGGGACACAGTGTGAAATTGGCTGCTATGTTTTCATGCGAAGATCTTTGAGATATTTCAAAGACGTGATCAGGTGCTATATCAATTGCAAGGATCATAATTATTATACACTCCCTTTAAGGTTACGGCTGATGTATATTGAAAAGGCTCTTTCCAACCGCCGTTCCAGTATTATGCTCATTAGTCCATGTCACTCTTATGCAGTTGATGCCGCCCTGGGTATTGAACAGAAAAATCATATTTATTTTTTTCTTTCTTCGCTCTACCTCTTTCGGATTCTGGGCGTGTAGGCTGCTCAACCGTGGTAGTATTGCATTAAGCTTGATCCTATCCTCCTCAGGAATTCACATGATCGTAAAAGATCACTGCATAGTGATCGAGAGCAGAGATCCTGAATGGTATTCCCCTCCCTAGCCTGAGGTGCTTGAGGTCAATTGTAGCACCTATAGGATACATCAAGGATTGAACCTTGGCCCTTCTGTGTCTGACCTTTTGGGTTTGGCTGGCACATGCCTGGGTTTGTGATTAAAATCTCTGCCCGTGAGCTAACAGTTGACTTCAGTAATTCTTTAAGCTCTAACAAGTAATCACACCTCACACAAGTCCTTGCCAGGCAACACTGGCTCCCAATCACCGCCCAGATCAACTTCCTCTCACTAATTTTCAAATCACTTCAATCCCTTGCACCTCCCTACTGATCCTACCTCTTTACCCCCACCATTCCATCACCCGCTGCCTCCGCTCGGCTGGCTCCGGCTTCCTATTTGGCCCTCATGCCCTCAGTTCCACCACCATCAGTGGCCATGCCTTCAGCCACTACGCCACGAATCTCTGAAACTCTCTCCCTCAATCCCTCCACCTTGCCCCCTCCCTCCCCACCTTTATATCCCGTCTAAACACCTTCCTTTTTAAAGAGTCACCTTCCCCTTCCCTCTCCCCATGGCTCGTTGTCAGACTCCGCCACAGTGAAGCGCTATCGCGTGTGAATGGCGCTATATAAATGCAACTTGTTGTGTTGTAACAAGCAAAGGAATGGACGGTAGAACTCAAAAATAATGCTAGTCATGATTGGCAAAGTTTTTGATTGTTAAAATTGTCCCTTTTAGGTTGTTTTTCGCTCCCTGGTGTAATATTGCTTCCAGAGCACGCCAGTTTGTGTTTTTAACACTGTCTCTGTTTCTTTCCCTTTCAGCTGAAGAGTAATGTTGTGAGCCTAGACTGTCACATCAGCAAATATGCAGCCATTTGCGAGGAGCTCAAGAGAGAGGCAAGTTTGGTCTCCGTTGAACATTTCAGACTAAAATAAGGATCTAAACTCTGTCCGTGTCCGGAGATTTAACTGCAACAATATGCTCAATTCACTCGATTTCTGCAGCAGATCTATTAAGTGATTGGTAGCAGAAATCATAATTGCCAGAGAAATTGGATACTCCAACAATATGATTTAATTGCACTTATTTTCCAGGCCGGCCTGATTTTAGATTTCTGTTTTCTTAACTTTTTTGCTAATTATCCTCCCATTTTCTCCCTTTTCGCTTTGCTCCCAGCCCCCACCACAGCTAAAAAATATCTTATTAACAACAACAATTAAGCTCTGTTGGAAAGGTTCGGCCCAACATTTAAAAAGATTTAAGAAGAAGCAGAGCTTCTAAGTTGCATAGTAGTATGGACTGATGGGCTACCTGTCTGGATACCTGATGACACTTCTGCAATTCAGCAAAGAAGCTGTGAAATAAGATACCCACAGACACCAAAGCAAAGTCTGTGAAACCAGTTACTGAATAAGTGGTTTGAATAAACAGCCGTTCGAGGAGTAAAAACTGTAGAGTTGCGCTGTGAACCCTTGAAAGGAAATAAATAACATATTTGCCCGACAGTGTCTGCCCAAGATTCAATATTACAACAACTTGCATTTATATAGAGCTCCTCATACAGGGAAGTGTCCCAAAGCATGTAAATTAATTGAAAGCACTTCCTTATCCTTAGGGCTTCACCCTAATTTGATACTTCAGCCTTTCGAGTCGGTTTTGTTACCTTATAGCAGATCTTTGCATTAACCCTCAAATACACAGTCGTTTCACAGCACAGTAAATCCTGTGAAGTGCTCTTTTTAAACATCCTGATCAATTTTGCTTGCACAATGTCCTTTCTGGGCAGATTAGAAAAAGAATATCAGAATTGTTTGTCTCACGTATGTCACGTTTCCTCTCCCCTCAGCTCACATATTCTCACTTGGAGCTGAACACGCTTTTGGTCATCTTATAGTGAAGACTTTTTTGTTATGTTTCATGCTTATTCTCCTTGGTAAAAGTCACTTGTTTTCCCACTGTAAAAGTTACCCCCTCTGCTGTGAAAACCAAAACACCACAATAGAACCGTAGAAATTTACAGCACAGAAGAAGGGTATTGTTTCGTGCCAAATCCTTTAAGAGCAATCGTTTCAGTCCCACTTTCCTGTCCTTTCCGCATAATAACACTTGTAGTGCAGTATATTGCATGTTAGAAATGTAAATTGTAATTTTAAAAGAAAACGTGTTTGCGGTTTTGTGTTCCATTTTAAATCCTCTTCCGAGCATCAAGGGTTGAAATTTATTTTATTTTGCATACCGTGCACTGTTTTGCACAGGAAAAGCCATCTTGAAAAATATTTCAAACACTCCCCAGAGATGTTAAACTAGTCATTCCTCGTATCCTTGTGGAGTTGAGAAACCTCAGGGCACAGGTGGACCAGAGAGGTGAGATTGTATAGCTGCTTTCTGTGGAATTCTGTCTAGAATGCAGCCTGCAGCAGCTGGGGTAGTAACACATTCTTACGTGATTAGGTAGCGACTGACTCCCTTGAAATCTTGCTTGTTCACAGATCACACAACTGAAAGATAAGCTGAAGGTCTATGAGGGAGGAAAAACAGCCACTGGTGAAAGTGACCAAGGTCCAGCCCGGAAGGTGATTTCCAGTCAGCAACAGGTCCAGCAACAGAGGTAGGTCATAGAGGCACGAGGAACACTGCAAACCCTGGCAATCTGACACAGAGATCGAAACACTGGTGTTCCACAGCAGCTCAGGAGAGCATCCAGAAGACATTTTGGGAGGACCTTTATCAGATTAGTAAAACCAGAGGACATGGCCTGCAATTGAAGATGGGTATTTTCAGAACAAATCTACAGAAATGTTTTTTAGTGAGCAAGTAGAAACAAGTGGAACAGACTCCCTCGGGAGACAGTTGAAGCAGGAAATATTGATTCCTTTAAACAGATGAGATAGTTTTCTTTTACGAAATAACATTAAGGGATATAGCACATGGGTAGTTTGTGGCATACGACCGCCAAAAAGGTGGAAGGCGAACTAGATGGATCCTGGTCTTTTTTTCGTCTAGCATTTCTTGTGTTCTTGTTATGTAGAACTGATGAGGATGTCACCAGAAGTTGAAGGCCAAAACCCTCGCTTGGGTTCCATCATAGAATGGATGTGTGCTGCTAGTCATGTCACCACAGTGTGCTCGTGGTGTGTATATGTACAAATAACGTGAGTGTCCCAGGGTCTTGAACCACAGATTGACCTGAACAGAGGGATGTTTTTTGATGCATCTAAAGGGCAATATAGAAACCTCAAAAGCTTATTGCTGAGTAGGGTTTGACTTTTGGCTATAATTTCACTCCAATATAATCAAACCTGGAGGCTAGATCTTAAAGAGTTCCAGATGTATTCAAGGTTCTCTGAAAGGCTTGCTTAGATACAAATCTTATCCTAAGGGGCTGATCATAAGCTCTCTTCAAATGGACAATTCCTTGTTTAGTTTCAGTACTGACGGAAAGAAAGGATTTATAAGTTGAATCGCGGTCATCTCTCTTACTTTGTTTTGTTGACATTGTGATGTTGAAAGGTGGTAGTTCAGGGGAGAAAAGGCAATGTGGTATTTTGGGAATATAATTGGTTCCAGTTGAAAGCAAGTTCAGTTCACCAAAAAAAGTCTTGATTTCTATTAGAAATGGTTCCTCTGAGGAGCTCACTGCTATATATCTGAGTAATAGTGATTTGCATTTGATATAGCACCTTATCACATCTTTGAGATGTCTCAAAGTGCTTCACAGAATATACTGTATAATTTGTAGGCAAAACGCGGCAGATCATTGCGCATAGCAGTGTCCCACAAACAGTCAAGGATTGAATGACCAAATTGTTTTTTTAACATTGATTTTGAAGGGAATTATTAACCCCCGAATAGCAATCCGCAAATCAACTAACATCCGGATTCCTACTTACTGCTGGGTAAACAGGCATGTGAGTGGAATTAGGAAATTTGCCCAACATTTTGCCCTGCGAGGAATCAAACTCAGGTCCTCTTGCTTGCGAGGCGAGTGCTCTAACCACTGAGCTACAGGATTCCACTGTTTACTGACTTCCAAAGGCAATGTAAGAGAAGGAAGCCTGTAAATGTAAGCGGCTTCCCCTCATGATTTGGCAGTAACTCATACTGGGTTACAGTTCAAGAGGGATTATTCCTCTCATACCTCACCAGAGTTGATTTTCTTCACGGTGGGCATAGAGTGTGACTGTCTGGACAATTTGACCACAGGAGCAGTCAACCAGGTGCAATGCTAGTTTGCTATTGGATTGGATAGTGATCAGAGTGGGAGTTGGTCTAAATTCTCTTTGGTTTTGTTCACGCCCATCTGCTGCCCTCACTCTCCTCTCCCACCAAACCTCAAAAATCAACTTCAACTTGCATTTACGTAGCGCCCCTCACACAGGGTTGCATCCCAGAGTGCTTGGCAGTGAAAAATATAATCGTATGAAGAGGAAAAATATATAGCTAGGTATGAGAGAGAGCAGGGAATTTGGGTTAGAATAGTTGATTCCAGTAGATGAGCTGGTATCAGTGTTGCCTTCTTCTATGTTTCCATATCTATGTCTATCTTCCATGTTATTTGATTCTATGAACATGTGTAGAGCAAGAGTGCTGAGGACAATTTGTAGAGCAAGAGTGCTGAGGACAATTTGTAGAGCAAGAGTGCTGAGGACAATTTGTAGAGCAAGAGTGCTGAGGACAATTTGTGTTTGTAGTTGCTTAGTTCAAAACATTTCCAAGAAATGTACAGCCAGTGCTAGGATATGATGATGTAGTGATAATATCTTCTTTCATTTGTACCCTCAGGAACCCAAATCGGTTTCTGTTATTGTTTTCCTGCGTTTGTGGGATTTCTTTCAGTCTCATCAACGGTAACATTAGATCCAATTAAAGCCTAGTTCGTGTTGAAACATCTCTGTTTGTGGACGGTGGGTCACAACATAATATACAAACCAACTAAGGGATTGTTTCCATTCTTTTTCAATGAATACAGGAGACTTAATAAAAAGTGCTGCACAATTGCCCCGGGCAAATTTGGCCCTTGAGGAGATGAGAGGCATTTTTGGGTGTGCAGTTTGAGTTTGTTCAAGCAACCTATGTGTCATTAGGCTGAGCTTCTCTTTGTGGTGAGTTGTATAGAACGCACTGCTGTGCGATTGGATTTGTGCCCTTTGATTGTGGACTGCTGCTCAAAGTCAGGAATGTACATTTCACTTGCTCAGCATGCACCTGAATGAGACTGCGCTTGTCAAATAGTTGTGTCTTCAAACTTTTCAATGCATATTTCTGCAATGCTGGGAAAGGCAATGAATAAACTCAGTTTGTTTGTAACTTAAAAGAAAGGGAAAAGTCTGGTTCAGTCCTTCATAGCAATCTTTAGTAACCAAAAGGAACCAATACCTAATTATTATTCTTGCATTTGATATCGCGCCTTTCATATCTGGAGGACGTCTCAAAGTAAAGTGTATTAACTGTAATTTTAGGTAAATGCAGCAACCAATTTGGACATCGTACTATCCTCTTGCACAGAGCAGTGCAGAATAACCAGCCTTTTATTTGGGGGGATTGTTGGCCAGGACACCTTCTATTTCTATTTTTTTTTATATGTGTATTAAAGTGGTGCATTTAAATTAGTTGCAGAAAGCTGGTAGCTGAGTGGGCTGTCTGACATGACTCCTCATAACCTAGTAATAAACCTTGCACTCCTCAGTTTATCTGGGTGGAGGGGGAAGAGGAGTTCCTGTTGGACTACTTTGTGGAATGGGGCCATCCATGCTTAAAGTCTGATGATGAAGTATTTGTTCCCACGTTGAGCAAGTTGACAGGTGTTGAATCAGCTGTCGTTGACCCGGTGTTAGAGGTGACTTGGACAGGGTTGTCTGAAAAAATCTGAAGAATGCTTTCGGTCGATCACCCAGGTTGAGGGAAAGTTATTTCCCTTTACAGACTGTTAAAATGATTGATTGCCGAACAAGTGGCCTTGGGAGTTTGGAGGAACTGAATGAAGCTGGTATTATTGTGAGCGTGAATGATTCTTACACGTGTGTTTGTTTTAAAAAAAGCACCTTAGGTTTTGTTCATTAGGAATAGATTGTCTTCCAGCAAGACTTGTGCATCACTATACCGTATTGTCCTCAGCAGGAATGCCGAGGTGTGAGTGAGCTCTTTCTGCTGGTCTCTGCTTCACAAACTACCAGCTGCAGCCTGCATTCAACATCCCGCCACCTATGTGAAGGGAAAAGTGCAGACGGCATTCTGTCTGTTTTGGGAATGTTGTCTGCTTGCTGGCTCCTGTCCCACTTGCCCAGGACTCCGGCTGAGAGGATGTGATGGTGACAGCTAACATTTCAGTTGTGTGCCTGTGGTGATTCTGTACGAGCTAGGGCCATAGATCAAACCCATGCTGCCAACCCATTGACTAGACTTTCCTTGGGGTATATACCTGTTGACACAGCTAATAATGTCCCCTGGTGAAATCAGTTTGAATGTTCGTAGAATAGGGGCTTGATCCTGAGGTTCCAGGTGGGGTATTTAATGTGTTGCACTGCTGGACTGTCTGCATCCAATTTATTTAACAAATCAATCCTCTAATGTCTAACTGCTGACAATTATTCACTTTGTAACGTGCCTTCAGCATGTTAAATGCACCTTTTGAATTGAAAGTCTCTAGGCCCCAAACTGCTCATTTGCAACAATTTTTATGATACTCTTTACACTGATTGGCCTCAGCTCACAATTATATTGCCTAAAACTATTGCTGAAATCATATTAAAAAAATTATTGCCCCTTCCCTAAATTTTCTTTCATTTTTTTCTCCTCTCGTAAAAGGTAGTGATGTTTTCTTGAGTGCTGTTCTAACAGTCCTCCAGCACTCATCTAAATAGCCAATCTTCAACTGGTTATTGCAGCTAACTAGCTAACAGATAACTGTCCACATACAGGCACCGAGAGATTGTTTGCTAGCAAATCTGGAGTGAGAAGTAGATTCAAAATGGCTGAAAGAAATTGTACAAAGCGTGTTTTGTACCAATTTTCTTTGAGTAGTAATTCCCAACACAACCACATCCCATGGACAGAAAACATCTGGAGGTGTTCCCATTGCTGTGACTTGCACTTTTTCCCCAATTTAGGAGATGCGACATTCCTCTCGGGCTGTTCGGCTGAGTGCGACGCAACTGAGCATCAAATTGTGGGCACCTATCAAATCCAAGGATTATTATCATCTAACATAGGATGATGTGAACTCAGGAAGGTGTTGATGTCTCTCAAGTCTAGTGGAGAGGATGCAGCCTGCTTCCTGTATGTCCAAGTCACAGTATCATTTGTATTAATATGGCTGTTCAACCATTTTCTTCCTGTATTGTCTAGGCTTGAGAAGGTTCTGCAGGAGTTTTTCACCAGCCACCAAGAGATTTGCAAGGATCGCATGGATCTGGAGTCTCGTTTGAAAGAGATGGAACTGAAAACATGTTTTCAGCTGCGTGACCAAAAGCGGATTAAACTATTGTGCACTGAACAGAAGGTGGAACAGGTAAAGTCCTTTTTCTTTCGCTAATTTCAAAAGGGTTGTTGTTTGAGGTCAGTTTGCACCTCATCGACATGTTGACTTGGAAACTATCATTGGCTGGTGAGTAAGTGGGTAAAAGAGAGACAATATCTCTTGACTGCTCGGTGGTTGGGCCCATGTTGCAGATTGTGATACTGACACTACTTTACAGTATATTCTGCCAAGCGCTTTGAGACATTTCGAAGATGTGATACTATATCAAATGCAAGGTTTATTATACTGTAAAGTGAATTGACTGTATGGGCGAAAGTACCGTGTAACCTGGATAACCTATTGTGTACTTACAGGACAAAGAATATGTGCGCACAAGCATACATCGCATGAGTAGCACCCTAATAGTTTTTCTTAATTTGACAGGCCTCCTGTAAGTTTGAGCGAAGCCAGGCGTCTTCCAAGATGCGCCACACCCACCTCTTAGAGAGAAAGCAGCAAGCCGAAGAGAGGTTCAAAGCAAACGAGAATCAGCGAAGCCAGATGGAGAATGAAATCAACTTGGCTGGCAGTAGCACCTCGGAGCCTGAGGTAAAGGAGGGGTTAATCTCCCATTTAGGATGGAATGTAAATCAAACCAGTTCCCTTTAGGCATCATATTTGATCTTGACAAACATAATTGCTTCCTGTTGTGCTCCTGATTTCTGCACCCATTCGGTTTTTCTCAAAATATATCTTGGCCTGAAATTGTGGGTGGAGGCAGAGAGCTGAAGGTGTATGAGATACTCAGTGAGCAGATACCAAGACTGATGCAGACATGCTCCTTTACTGATATTTGCTTGGAATCCCTGGAGCTGAACCGAGGAGTTCCATGTCACTGTTTTAGCAGCGCTTGAGGTCCACCTTCTCTCACTCTATCATGAGTGGTGATTTAGTCAGCCTGGAAAGCCACTATCCTCCAGTTTGGAACGTGTGTGCTTCTGAGCAACCCGCGTGGTCACACTGTAACACTGGTAGAGCTAAAGAAAGTGAAAGTGAAGGGAACAAAATTAGGGAACGTGTTGTATTGTGAGCCAATCTCCGATTTGTTGCTGAACAGATCTTGAAGCTGAGATTACGAAACCATGAGTCAGCGGTGGAAGTGAGGAACTTCAAGCAACAGATCAGCCACATGACCAACTTGATGATGCTCCAGGAACGAGACAGCCGGCAGACTGAGAGGTAAGGAATTCACAGCTTGAGCAACTAACGCACGAGACCCGGTTTAAGACGAGTAAATTAAATGACCTACCTGTTTTTAAGGGTTCAAGCAGTGACAACCAACTTACAGAGTAGACTCACAGTGGAGTTTTAAGTGCTATGAGACTCCACCCTGAGTGAAAGGTGCTGTAGTCCTGTAGCTCAGTGGTTAGAGCACTCGACTTGCAAGCGAGACACCTGGGTTCAATTCCAGGCAGGGCGAAACCATGGGCAAGTTTTCTTACTCCACACGTTTAATAATAATCCCTCCAAAACAAAAACAAAAAAAATTGGTCAATTTCAATCCATGACTGTTTGTGGGACGCTGCTGTGCGCAATTGGCTGCCGCATTTCGCCCACAAATATACGGTCAATTCATTTTATAGCATGTTCTGTGAAGCACTTTTTGAGATGTTTAGAAGACATGAAAAGCGCTATATCAAATGCAAGGATTATTATTATTATAAATGCAAGCTGTTGAGTTAGCGATGAACCAAATCTGCTTTAGTTTGAGCTTGGAGGACAATTCTGGGGCTGCAGTTTGAGGCTGACACTAAAAATGCGCAATTGGCTACCACGTTTTGCCCACAAATTATACAGTCAACTCGCTTTACAGTGAAGCGCTTTGAGACGTCTTGAAGATGTGATAAGGTGCTGTATAAAACTCTTCCATCTTTAGGCTGGTTACGAGTCTGCTGCAGGTGGTACGGAAACAATTCCATGCACTGAAAGGGGCCAACCTCGCGACCACTGAGACCGTGTCTGAATTCAACGACCTCGAGCGACAGGTGCGGGGGGAGAAAGCGGTCCTGTGGGCAGATCAAGTAACCGAGGAGGAGCCAGAGGAACAGAATAACCAGCCCAAAATACTAGCCCTAGCTACAATTTCCAAACTGTTTGAAAAGTCCTTCGATGTAAATGGTGAGTCTTTCCTCTTTGTTTCAGGCATTGTATATGCACCAACCTACATACACCCAGACTAGCTGGCATACAGTCTCACTTGCACGTCTCAAGAACTTCCTTGGCCACCCTTTCTACCCCTTCCCCACCTTCTACCCCTCTTCACCCCAATCCTCTGCTCGAGTCCAAATCCTTGACTGTCCAGGGCCTTGGGATGTCCTACAGACGTGAAAAGCTCTGTAGAAATATAAGTTGTTTTCATATTCAATTATAACTGCGTTCCGCCCAGAAACCATTATCCATCCCCGTCTGTACCCATCCCTCTTATGTCCTCCAATGTTCTCTCAACCAGAAGCTTTGATTTTTTTTAAAAGCAACAAAGCTCCTTGTTGGGAGCCTGACCCACACACCCACTGCTCTGTGTGGGGCAATAAGTCATGTAATCTCTAATCCCACATAAAGCCATTTATGGTATGCTGCTCTGATTTTATGGGTTTTAGACATATAACTGCTTGCCTCTTACACTTAGCATATGAAAGATCGGAATCTAGTGTCTCTTCCTCCCCTTGCTCGTGTTCTTAGGCTAGGAAAGAGCCAAGGTTCACATTCTCCTCACAGTCTATTGCAAGACACTGAATGCAATGCCCAGTCATGTGTGGGAGTGTTTCATCTCCTCAGTGGAGAATTTATTGGATTCGGGGGTGGGGGGGGGGGGTTCGTTTGTAGACGTATTAAGGTTGTGCTTTGTTGTGTGTTTCGTTGATCTGTGAGGTTTAACATTGCATTGAGCCGTACTGTCATTTAGCAATCAGTGCCTCATCTTGTGCTGTGTCACTTCACGGTGACCAGTGTGTGTGTGTGTGTGTGCGTGTGTATATATTGCAAATATATATTCAAGTGGTTTACTTTATCATTTCTTGAGGGCAAACACTGCTCTGAAATGTTAACTGCATCTCATTAAAAGTGTGGCTGCTGATCTGCATTAAACACAAATGGGCTGTAAGACTCTTAAAGGATTATCTGAAAGTTGAAGCAATTAGTTAGCAAAAAATCTTGATCTTTCAAATCCGTGCCCTGACAGCAGGAGACATTTTTATCAGTGGAATTCGAGCCGCCTCTTAATACAGATTTACAGGCAGAGTGTAGCTAATGATGGAGTCCTGCAGCTTAGTGGTGAGAGCACTTGCCTCGTAAGCGAGAAGACCTGGGTTCAATTCCCAGGCAGGGCGAAGCAAAACATTAGGCAACTTTCCTCACTCCACACGCCTGTATTTACCTAGCAGTCAGTATGAACACCTGGTTGTTAGTCGATCAGCGGATCGCTTTCCGGTGGTAATAATCCCTTATTTAAAAAAAATTTTAAAAATAATAATTTGGTCACTCATTTCACTACCGTTTGTGACACACACGCACGCTGCATAACTGGCTGGCATGTTTCGTCCACAAAATATAGTCAATTCACTTCACAGTATATTCTGTGAAGTGCTTGAGATGTCTCTTGTAAGGCGCTATATCAAATGCAAGGATTATTATTAATGATCGCTCAGCCTTTTAAAATGCATGATAAAAAATCGTAATCGCCATTCAATTAATTCCTGCACCTCCAACAGCACGCACGCCTTCGATATCTAACTGGTATCTTCACTCCAGTATTAGAGCTAACTTTGTAATGTTTTGCAAAACTTTTGCTGAAGTGTCAATCACTGCGCTGGCAGACTCACCAATCTAAAGCTGCCACAGCTTTAAGTTGTTTGCCTCCAAATGTTTGCTTGCAACTGTTAGAAGTCTGGTGCCACTTATCTTTGAAAAGCAAAGCATATTTACAGTGCTCCGTTTCACTTAATGATCTGAATAGTTTAGGGGCTTGTTTGACCCTCAACTATTCTTTCTACCCACATCCGTCACATCCCCGCCTCGCCTACCCCACCATTGGCAGGTTGGCCTTCTGCCCCCAGCGTCTGGAACTCCATCCCGCAGTTCCTCTGCCTCATCCCCTCCCTTGCCTCCTTCAAGACCCATTTCAAGACCCTCCTCTTCGACCGTACTTTCGATCAACATCCTTTCCCCGCCCCCACCATCCCTAGACCCCCAGTTCGGGTCCAAAACACTGACTGTCCAGCACCTAGGGACATCCTCCCGGTGTGAAAGGCACTGTACAAACGTAATTTTGTTGATGTTGAATTTTATTTTGTCGGAATTGGTTTCATCTCTGCTGTTTGGTAACACCAAGCCTCCGTGGAATATACAATGGTACCTTCCAATTTTGGATGCATTATAGCCCTGCACTGAATAATGGCATGTGCATACCTTGTTATCCTTTTATTGGGCCTTTGTGTACAGTATAAAAATAGACTAAGGATCTGTGTAATCATTCTGGAAGAGTGTTTCCTTTAGAGACTAAAGTTTCAACAATGCACTGCTCTTTAACCAATAAATAGACATGCAAAGCATTTTGTCGTTGGCTGTAAATGTGGCTGGCTGAGAATCATGAGATAGAATAAGTCTCAAGTATATTGAGACATAACTAATGGTATATTTTAAAATTGTCTGCCCTGCCACCTGGGTTCAATAAAAAAAATACTCCTTGAATGGGATGTGGGCTCCTTGAAACTGAACTGGCTCCAAGATGACTTGTTTGGCAATGTAATGTCAGCAGTCCTGGCCAGGCGGGTCCACAGTTTTCCAGGGCGCTACTGATAACAACCAGGCCAGTCTGGCTCATCGGCAGGCCTTGGAAGGGCACACCAGTCACTTAGAGGCAGGGATTTTTCCTACTCTGCTCCTGTTAACCTTGCAAGCCAAAGCCTTAACGGGTAGAGTGGTCCTAGCCGTACAAGCTGTGGGAAAATTTGCCAGACATTGCTTTCAATGGCAAGCTATGCAGTTTTAGCTAATTAGAATCCAGCTGTATTCCAACTGATATTTGGCTAATTTTGATCATCATTCTGTATTGAGGGCAAGTAAATTATTATTTTATCTGTGCGGTTGATATGGCGCCTTATCACGTCTTCGAGACGTCTCAAAGCACTTCACCGGATTGAGGAGGGGGTGGAGGAGAGGCAACGTGGACACACACACTATCACTTCTGAGTGAATGGATTACATTGATTATGTAATTAAGAATGGCCACCGATTACATTCAGTTTGATCCCACCCTCTGATATAATGTGGGTGTTGCTGGATTACAGTGGCTAAGTAATGTTTAAATGTTTGCAAAGCTCTATTACATTTTCCCTTTCCAAGCTAGCATTCTTGCACTTTTGGCTGCAATCTGATTCCATTCTCACTTTATCCATGGCAATGTCAATCCCGTCACATTACAAAGCAAGTCATTTACAGTAAATCATTCTGTCATGAATGCTTATTAGTGTAAGGTGCTGGCATTTCAGTCTCTATTTTAGTTTACTATATAAAAGATATCCGTTTGATAGTTTGTGCACCAGCTGAACTTTATATTTAAGAGTTTGGACATAAATCGTCCTGGAGGTTGATCCACAGGAAGGATTTGCTATTTTATGTCAAGAGTGTTCTGTAGCAAGCTTCAAAAAAAGTGATTAAAATTCTTTCGATTAAAATTTGAATTGCAAGATAGATAAGAACTCTGTTTAACGACCTTTTGGAAAGAGGAATGTTCTGGAAAAATTATATGTGCAGATGGTCACAGATGTCTAAAAGCATTTTACAGAAGTTACATTGAAGTGTAATGATTAAAACCCGGGAAAAGTTGGAAAAATTATTGGTATTGGAGTGTGTGCTCCTCCTTTACAGGAGTACAGCATTAGTGTAGCTTGAAGCACTTTGAGATGTCTCTGACGTGATAAGGTACTACTGCAACACTGCTGTGCCCAATTGGCTGCTGCGTTTCGCCCACAAATATAGTCAATTCACCTTTCAGTACATTCTGTAAAGCGCTTTGAGACGTCTAGAAGATGTGAAAAGCTCTATATAAAATGCAAGGATTATTATAATGGTGGAGCAAGATGCCCATCCTGGGGGAGGTGACTATGCACGGTCGAAGAGGAAGGTCTTCAGGCACAATCTGAAAATGATGAAGGAAGGGGCAAGGCGGAGGGATAGAGGAAGAGTGTTCTAGAGTTTTGGGTCACAGCGCATCAAATCAAAACCAAATCAGCAGCTTATGAAATGCAAGGATTACTGTTTTTTAACTTCATTGTTTTAGGCTATACACAGCATACTTCATTCCGTTCATTCCTGTAAGTGGAGTCCAACTGGCTATGGTACCATATAAACTTTCTATTCAGCTCTGGCTGGCACCTTTTTTTTTATTACTTCCCATTGGAGCTGCTGTGGTAACAGCTGGTGAATGGGGTTGTAGTGAAGTAAAGCCACAGACATTCCTGTAATGTGATTGCCGGCCTGAGCTTCATGATTATACCATTGTTTGTCTCTTAAGCAGAGTTTTAACAACATGTGTGAACTTTCAACAAGTGGTCCACCCAAGGCTTCAGGGCTCGATTTCCCCATTTGAAATTGTCTCGTACCCACACACACACAAATATACACACAAGACAGTTCTGTCTGTCCCAGTTTCTACCAGCTGTCACTTTGAGCCTTCAATGGGTTGAACAATTTGAAAATTTGTTCCCCGAACATCACCTGAACTTCTTGGTGCAAGTGAGAACAAAATTTGTAGGTCCTGATGTAAATGTACGATTTAATTGTATCTGTTCTAAATCTTTTCATTAATATAATTCCTTTTGGCATTGAAGATAATTGCTTTTTCTTCAACGTAGTAGTTAATAAAAAAACATTGGAGTCCTCCCTCATCAATTAAAGTGTTGTCTGAACGTCAAAACCAATTAGATAGTAGATTTGAGTGAGGCTCACTTGCCTTGAATGAGGCAATGCGGGTTGTGAAAGGCATTTTTTTCTTTTACCACAAGGTGATCTCGGAGCCAAGTTAAGTCTCGCCGTTAAGTGGAAGACCTTGCAATGCAAATTCAGAGATGCTTTTGCTGGGTTGTTAGAATGTACAGCAAATAGTAAAAAAAATTGACCTGTGTATTCCGGTTCTTACCATTTTCCACGTGTTATCTCCCTTTGCTCAGCGCACACCGGCCTGTTTCATGTCTCCTGCCATATCTGCCCCACCATCAGCAGTTAAGGTCACCAAGCCCCAGTCTAATTTGTTGAAACCCATTACCCAACTGATGTTTGTACTCCATCCCTCTTATTCCTCACCTGTACCCCTCTATTCCCTTCTGACTAACGATTGTATAATAATCCTTGCTTTTGATGTAGCCTTATCATGTCGTTGGCATGTCTCAAAACGCTTTACAGTTCACAGAATGTATTACAAAGTGGATCGACTGTATTTTGTCGGCAAACAAATATGTATAACACTTTCTCTTCATTACAGTATATTGATGCTTTTTGCTTCCATCCCAGCTTCTGTCAGTAACTCCGCATCGTCTTCACCCACCAGTATTCTCTTCCACATTTTCTTCACCCACACTTTATGATTAGGCAGACTCATCAGTGATAACCTTAGGGTAGTGCATCTGAGTCTGATCCTGGACATAGTAATCCCCTGCATATTCCATGCTTTCGGGTGCAATTTTGTTCACTGGGACCGCTCCTGCTGTAGCTGAAACCTCAGCATTGACCAGTCATCAAATCTGTGTGGCTGCAGCTCATTTTCTAACCAGCCAATGGCTTCCAACAACTGAACAAATTAATGCTTCCTATTTGGCTCCTGAGCAAGCTGTGGTTTGGGAATGATGTTGGCTGACACTTATCGCTTAATCAGCTGTGTAATTTTTTTTACCCACAACATGTTGAAAGGTATGTTGAATGATTCAATGTGGAAGTACTCGCTTTATGTCTGATAAGCAAGAGCAACATATAGTGATTGAGTAATAAAGCTTTCATTGGGCCTGAATCAGGAACAAGCGGTTGAATTACTCCCATTATTATTCAATAAATTGTGGTTCCCTATCGCGCATCAGCCTGGGTCAGAAAGTTGTAGGTTGAAGCCCCACATTGGAACTTGGAACTCATGTAGCCAAAGATGGAAAATAATAATAATCATCCTTACATTTAATATAGCACCTTATCATGCCTTCAAGATATCTCAAAGCGCTTCACAGAATATACTGTAAAGTGAATTGACTATTTTGTGGGCGAAACACAGCAGCCAATTGCGCACAGCAATGTCCCACAAAAAGTCAAAGATTGAGGGACCAAATTCATATTTATTTATCTTTTCAGGAGGGATTATTATCCCAGAAAACGATCCGATCTTTGCTGGAATTCCAGCAACCTTGGGTTGCTTACAGAAACACCTTCATTAAGAATGATTCTGTCAATTGACCTGTGTTTTGCCTATTAGCTCCCAACACATTTCATTTCCCAGATGTTTTCAGTAATGAAGGCAGGCACCCTCCACATCCCAGGCACATTACTTTCAATTAAAGCGAGTGGGAGGGGGCTGCATTAAATTGATTCTGCCACAAGTGCCACTCAGCGCCCTGGGAGAGTAGTAAGCAGGTACCTTCTAGTTTTCATGGGGCCTGAAAAGCGACTGCAACCGTGGATGGCTCTGTTGGGGGTAACTGCGACCATAATTAAGGCTCTTAAACAGCTGCATTTCATCTGCTATTAACAAAGGTTGGATGAGTTGATAGAGAATTACAAATACTGTCAAAAGCCAAGCTCAAATTTCAAAGAACCTTGGCTCGGGAACCAGAGAATGGGGGGTGGGGATGGTGTGTGAGGGCGAAGTGACCTCTCATCATGATTAAATTCTAGTTCACGCTGTTGATTGCAGAGTAATATTTCCAGTTCTTTGACAAATATGTATCCCAAGTGTCTTCTGTTCCGCTTAATGACCGCAGGTTGAAATGAGAGAGAAAGCAAGCGAGCGAGCACATTGTACAGAGAAATCTTGCTGTGTGAAAAGGTCCGGTTTCTCTAGGGATCCCTTTTCACATCAACAATTCGGAACAGAAATTGTTTTTTTGTTGGTAAACCGCTATTCTCAGCAGTTTTGAAGCCGACTATAAACAGAGTCCCGGTTAGATGTCTGTGTGGCTTTTGTTTAAACTTAGTCAAACATATTGTCCCAAGTATTGCTTCAGACCAGGAGCCATGAAACTGTCAGTATATATCTTGGTTTTATAAACTATTTGATTGTTACCAACAAACTTCCCAGAGAATTGCAAATTTTCTCAGAGATTCCTAAACCTCTAATCCGTGCCATCCATTCGTTCAATCGATCAAAGCTCTGTTTTTTTTTTAAAAAATCCTCTCTTAAATACAATCTTCACTGCTGCTTTTTATTACTTTCCAATTATCTGCTCACTTTAGGTTGCTGATTTATGTTGAGGTCCAGTTTCATGGACAGTGGCTGCTTTCCAAGGCCCTCGCCCAAGTGGCCATGACAATGAGTATTGGCTGAGTGGAGGGAATTGTATCCGAACCCAATCCTGTCCTAACCAGACATGCCCTCCAGGCACACTTTCCAATAGGAGTTGTTGGATAGAGGTTAAACACTGGATCCATTCAAATTTTCAAGACTGAGGTGGATAGGTTTTTGTTAGGTCAGGGTATCAAGGGATTGGGTCAAAGGCGATTACTCGCAAGCAAGAGGACCTGGTTTGATTCCCGGCAGGGCGAAACGTTGGGCAAGTGTCCTTACTCCACACGCCTCGGGGTCACCTAACAGTAAGTAGGAACCTGGTTGTTAGTTGATTAGCGGATCGCTTTTCCGGGGATAATAATCCCTTCATAAATGAATAAATAATTTGTTCACTCAGTCTACGAATGTTTGTGGGACACTGCTGGGCACTATTAGCTGCCAGTTTCTCCCACAAAATATCCAGTTAATTCACTTTACAGTATATTCTATGAACCGCTTCGAGGCGTCTTTAAGACGTGATGAAGCGCTATGTTAAATGCAAGGGTTATTATTGTTATTGTTGTAGCTCACTATCAAATCTACTTTTCAGCTCCATCTGCAGAAGTTCCAAATGGGAAACCCACAGAAAGCGTGAAGTTGGAAGTTCCATTGCGCAAGCGGCTACCTGCAAAGCGGTGCCTAACCGAGCTCAAGCCATCGCCCAGCCATCCTCTGCGGATGCCTCTGACATCGTTGAAGCGCAGGAGAGAGAACGAAATGGCCTCGGAAAACCTTTTCACGCCCGAAATGCAATCAAAGCGCACCAGGAAGGCTGCGTTTCGGCCGGGGGCCATTGCGCCCAAAGTGTACGCTCTCGCTGGGACCCCGAAAGACAAGAAACCCTTCTCGAACCGGAGCAACACCCTGAGTGGTGAAGTCGCTAAATCAATGACGCCGATTCAACAGGCCGTTCAGAGACAATACTCGGAAACAGTCACCAAGGCCAGGCCGCCCTTAGCCACCACCACTCCCAGCAGCTATAACTTTCCCTCTGACCCACCCGTCACCGTACCGTCAAGCAACCAAGATTTAAACGCAACATTTGACCTCACCGATAAGTGTGAGAAAGCGAACTTGGATACCACAATAACCATTGGTTCAGTGGCTCCTCAGGGAATGAGGGTCGCAGAGCCTCACACCATCTTTCCAAAGCCTGACAGCATCTTTCTCCAAAGGTTAATCTTATTTTGTTTATGTTGACTCAATACCGTCATTTATTTTGAGCTCTTCTGACTGTCATTAAAAGAATCACAGGTCTCATGAGGATCTTCCCAGGCAGAAATTGTCTTGCTTCAACACTGTGTGTAGTCTAGTCCTGCCTTAGATTTTGTGCTCTTTTTAGAATTAACTATACCGCACAGAAGGAGGCCATTCGGCCCATCTTGTCTCTGTAGTTTTGGGATCCAGCACTCAGTACCTCTGTACTCCCAATAACTTAACTTAATATTAATAATAAGAATATCCTTCTCATTTGGTAGAGCCCCTTTCATTTCAGGAGGATATCTTGAAGCACTTCACGGCATATACTTTAAAGTGGCTTGGTTGCGTATTTTATAGGTGAAATTGATATTCATAGATATTGCTGCAATTAAATTGAGAAACCCAGCTGAATGATTCAACCTCACAAAGCAAGGATGATCCCAACTTCAAAAAGAGTAGTGGAGAAGTGTATAAGCAACAGTGAGTTGCTGCCAGGCTTGAGTTTTAAATGTTTTTTTGTCTGGTGGGGGGAGAGGGAGAGAACGCAAGCCACTATGGAATTCCAATCTCAATTCCCTGGAATTGCCTGCTGTACTTTGATTGTGTCTTGCACTATAACTTATCCTTCACATACAATGAACCCAGCTTCCTTCCACTTTCATTTAGGCGGGATTTAAAAGTTGGGAGGGAGAGAGCAGGCAAAGGCATTGAGGGAGATAGTTCCAGAGTTTAACCATTGTTTGTAAGGGTGGGGGGGGGGGAAAGAGAGAAGAAAATGTGTGCGTTTTGTTCTACATTTTTCATTCTTTGGCATTCTTCCTATTGCCCCTGTAGGTTAGGGCTACCGGACTTCCCCATTAACGACCAGTCTGCATCGCTGTACAGAAGCAGGCAACAAGTCATCGCTAACAGGCCAGCAGTGCAAAGAAGGAGGCGATCTCTGAGGTTAGTTCGCAGCAGAGTTCAGGAACCGAGGACTCTTATTAATTGAATACTTCCTTGAAAGTTGACTCTCGCAAATTGCTCAGTTTTCAGAGCATGTCCCTTCTTAAAATGGAGGGCAGCTCGAAGCTCTAATCTTCCTCTTGGAGTCCTGTAGCTCAGTGGTTACAGCACTCCCCTCGCAAGCGAGAGACCTGGATCCCAGCAGGGCTAAACCTTGGCCAAGTGTCCTTACTCCACGTGCCTGATAATAACCCCTCAAGAAAATAAATAAAATAATAATTTGGCCACTCAATCTATGACTGTGGGACATAGATGTGCGCAATTGGCTGCCGCGTTTTGTCCACAAATATATAGTCAATTAACTTTACGGTATATATAGTGTGAAGCATTTTGAGACGTTTAGAAGACATGTAAAGCGCTATAATCAAATGCAAGGATTATTATAACAGACTAGTTGGTCCAGCTAGACCTTGCCGATGTCCATTTGAGTCTCCACGCCTCCTTATCCCTCTCTCCTCGTGTATGCATTAATTTTTTTCATAAATTACAATGACATTATTCTCTTCAACCACAACTACGCAGTAGTGAGTTCCACGATGTTGCCATTTAACACTGCTTTGTTTTCCAGTGCTGGCTCCTTGCGGGTCAAAAGCCAGCCACACCTGAATAGGCCCAGGAGAGTCCCGGTTGGCAGAGGTCGACCAATACCAGGTACAGTAGGTTCCCCCCCCCCCCCCCCCCCGCAACCCCCCAACTTGCTCCCCCATCGTGAAGAACACACAAAACCACCTTGTTCAGAAAAACCCAGCAGATGCATTCACCCACAAAATACATAGTCGATTCACTTTACTGTATATTCCGTGAAGGGCTTTGAGACGTCTCGAAGACGCGATAAGGCGCTGTATCAAATACAGGGATCAATATTATTCCTTACTTAATGCTTGTGTTCTGGGAAGTCACAACATAAAATGTTCAGGTTCTCTGGAAAATAGATAAATCTCACGGAACACCTCTCCACCATGATAAAATGAGTGTTTGAAGTTGAGATTTCTGTATTGATAGTAAAATACAGCAGCACTTTCAACAGCACATTTTACACAGTTTTGAGCTTGACAGTGATTTTATTTTTATCAATGATTCCTTCGCTCATTTAGGTTGCGCAGTCCCACTCGTCATTCACTAAAATAGGGTAGGCCTACTTTTGTTGTGGGTCTTGGACTTCACAAACAACCATCCAATCCTCACTCGGATTTGGCCTCTGTTGGAATCTCATTGCTGTCAAAGCCTTGTTGCTGCCACAACGACGACAACAACTATAGCCTCTATACTGGAGATGTGTAGCTGTTGCAGCTTCTCTGCAAATGTACCCTGCCATTATACCTGTTGTATATGTACCATATACAACAGGTATGATGTACCATACCTGTAGTGTCTACCATCTGTCCTGTCTTTCTGTCTGTCTGTCGCAGAAGCACTGACAAACAGAGGAACTGATGCTCGAAAGTGTGTCTTGCACAGATGTAACCATTTATTCCTTTGGAGAATCAGGCTTGGGATCAACCCAAGAAAGGAATAAACATTAGCATCTGTGTTTACTATTCCATGCTTCAGCATTAACTGGATTATATTTCAGCCAACGTGTGTGGGGGGCGCTTCTCTGAGAACCAGCCCGAAGTGCAGTAGACCTCTTTTAGCTCCTGTAGGTCATATCAGAATAAAGGTTCCCTTTAACCAGCAAGAGATGCTGGAAAGAATGCTCCAGAAACCTAAGCTGGCAAGCGCTTCAGATGAGTAGTTTAGGAGAGGGAAGTGGGGTAGAGATGTTGTGTCCGGATGAGTTAGTCTTGCTAATTCTGTGTGCTCTGCCCCCTTCACACACACAAACACACATTTGCTGACAATATAGTTACAAATCCAGTTAGACTGAGACTGAGTGAAACTATAGAAATATGTAGGAAACAGGAACGTCCTCGCCGTGGATTTGCAGAGTGCTTCTCAACGGTTGAGATCAAGGCATGTCAGCTTGTAAAGTAAAGTCCGTCTCACCCCGTTTGTAACTGACTCGGTAGTGCCTATCACCAAGAGCAAAGAGGGAGAAGAGTAACATTTCCCCATCCCCGTCTTCTCTTACTCTAAGAAAAGCAAAGGTCACAACACAAAGAACAAGTGTAGAGTTTCAGCAATGGCTCAAAAGCTCTTTTATTCACTCCCCCTGTGTAGAATTCCGAAGAAGCGTATTCAAGATCTTACCTGCCTCAAGCAACCATCAAGTGTGGTAATCACTGTGTTTTTCTGCACTTGTTACCGCTGTACATTATCACTGGCTTCACTGACTATCGTTGGTCCCACAAAATAAGAGCACGCACATCAGTGCAGTAGTCGTAGCTTTGGACCCAGTTATAAACCATGACTAAAGTGCCTTCTTCCTTTGCGCAGCAGAAAACTACAGTCCTCGTCCTCGTTCAAGCAGAAAGATTAGCCCGGCCTCCGGTGAGCTGCCAACCTTTTCAGTCGCCAAAGACTTGCCACGGTCCAACGTGAAGAATCTCAAACCATTGTTTAACTTCCGCCAGAAATCTGGTATGATGACGTAAAATGGCACCTGTATCTAAACAGCTCTCGCTCGCCCCCAACTCCCCATGTCTGAAATGAGAACTGTTCACAAAGTCAGTCCGATTCCTGCCTTGGACCTCTGTCTCCCTTTTTTTTCTCTCTGTCTCTTGTAGTTTTGGTAAAGTTTCACAATTTGTTTGCATGTCTTGTATAACTGCTTCATCCCTCTGTTTGGGGGAAGTTAGAATGATCTTCGATGCAGGACTTGATCACTGCCTATGTCTGCCACAGCTGATTAACGTGACACAGTTCTGCAAGACCAATTCTTTAGTGGTCTGCTTCTGATGATAATTGTCTAATTTACACAGTACTTGAATGGCACTACACCAGTGGAGCTTAAACGACTGACCTTTTCAACCCCCTCCCCCAGTCATCTGTGCTAAAGCCGCGTATTAATCACAAGAACTGGGAAGGATAAACCCAGTGGAAGGTATTAAGTGGACAAATTGGATGAACGGCTTCTTCACTCTCGTCCTTTAAGATGTGACCAGAATTCCGTCAGCAACGATGTCAAGAGTCCAGGACAGCCTCGCAGTGGGTGCAAAGGAAAAAAAAAAAAAAATCCTATGGGATAGACTCCCATTGGGCCTCAAGGCAAGTTGCCAATGAGCGCAAGCAAGGCTGTCATTTCCAACCACTGCCAACTCCAGATTGCGTAGCAATAGTTACTGTTTGTAATAACAGTGGCAGCAGATGCTGCGTACTACTTACTTACTGACTGCCTAGGCTGACAGACCCTCCAATGAAGTACTGGGCCTCGCACTGCTAGAGATGCCAAGGATGAGACACTAAACCACAATCCTGTCTGCCTGCTAACAATCCTGTGACACTGTCGAGAAGAGAAAAGAAAAGAAAAAGGGAATTTCTCCCGGTGTCCTGGTTAACAGCGCCCCCCACCCCATAAAATTGATCATTCACTTTGACTTCCCTGTGTTCAAATTGGCCAATGCGTTTGCCTATGAATATACACAGTCCATTCACTTTACGGTATATTCTGTGAAGCGCTTTGAGACGTTTCAAAGAAGTGATCAGGCGCTGTCACAAACGCAAGGATTATTGTTTTGTTCAGATTTTTTAAAATAAAAAATCATGCCTCCTGCTTTTCGAGCGGGTTTCGTCCATGACTCCAGCAGTTCGGTTCACTCATTTAAATTCTGAGAACACTGGATAAGAAGATAACTGGATTTTATTTACAGTTGGCAGGCGTACAGCGTATAAATTGTTAGCTCGCGTGTTCTCCCCTCGGTATTTTGATTTACTACCGCTCCTTGCAAACTGTGCTGTGAGGGCGAATGGATAAGCCAAGACCACCATATACCCACACGTCATAGTAGGAGTTCCTTTTCAGACGTTGCAACAAATGCAGCACCTGCCGTGACAATTCAAAAAGAAAAGTGCAAAAGAGAATACAATTGTTTGGAGTAGTCTGACAACACTTAAAGTCCTGTACACTGACTATTGACTGATCTTTAGACACAGATCAGTGACTTATAAGGTCTGTTTTTTAAACGTTCTGTTGAAGTATAACTGGAGCTGTTATTTCTTCTTAAACATGTATATGTGTTAGCCGTGCAGCCAGACCCGTTGTCTTATTAGACTGTTGTAAATGTTAAGTGTGTAACCAGAGCTGTACTATTTTGTTATTAAACTTTCTTTTAAAAATATGGATGTCTGAAATGAGCTTTTTAGATCAGGAGTTTGAAGCAGCTTGTAACAACGGTCGTAATCGTTGAGATGTACATCTCATTCTGTGTTTCAATTCACTTTACAGTACATTCTGTGGAGCACTTTGCGACGTCTAGAAGACGTGATGAGGTGCTATAACAAATGCAGGCGTTATTAACAAATGGAGATTTTGTCTTTATACATGTGTAAGGTGTGCAAATGGAGCCATTGTGACTCAGTCAAACTCTGAGCTTTGCGGTCATTTATCCCACGTGTTCTGTACAGATGCCAGTATTCTCACAACGGGCTGTTGGCCCTGGAATCTTTTTGTTTGTTTTTGTTTTTATCTTGTCTCCGGAGACTTCTGATTCACCTCGTTACCTTGAAGGCAGTTACATGAAGCTTGTTTGTAACGGCTTGAATTGCAATGTTTCATTAGGTGCGCTCACAATTTTACAAGCTGTCCGTGCAAGCTCACAGTTTGGTCTTGCAACAGCACGCTGCATAGTAGTTGGAGAAAGGGAGAGCTTAAGAGCAAACCCCGTCGACGCAACACTGGAAGAAATGTGAATGATTTTTTTGATCTGTTGGGAGAGCAGCAGCCATGAAATGCAAACAGTCAAGTTATCCTATTTGCTGAGCTGACCTTAAAAGTTGTTTTATGCTTAATGGTGCTCTGTGGAGAGTGCTGAAGTAAATACAACTGAATGGCTAAGCAGGAAAGGTTTGTATAAGGCCAATGAATTAAATAAAACAATAACAATCACTCAATCCACAACTGTTTGTGGGGCACCGCTGTGTGCAATTGGCTGCTGTAGTTCGCCCACAAAATATGCAGTCAGTTCGCTTTAAAATATATTCCATGAAGAGCTTTTGAGACATCGCGAAGATATGATCAGGCGCTATACTAAACGCAAGGATTATTAATATAATGAATGGGTTGTTGAACTCTCACTGCATGATGGAGTCTCTATCTGGAAATCCTTATGGACAGCTGTTGGGTCGACACTGTTTTGACCGCGCTATCTTTGCCCGCCTTCACAAAGCGAGGGAATAGCCGAAGGAACTCCACCCTGACATCTGGAGCTCAGACCGAGGTAACTGAATCCCACACGCATTGGCGACACCCATTGTTGTGGGGGTCAGTACAGGAGGTAGTGATACATAAGTGCTCTGGCTTCCTCTGAACCTCAGAGCAGCGCTGAGCTCTTAGCCAAGAACGCAACCTACCAATTGTGGGTAGGCAGAGAAACCAAGGTCGGGTCATTTCAAGTGCTTCACTCCCCGGCATAACGATCATTTTATTGTACATAGCGAGCCTGAGAATGTTTCACTGCCTCGGTTTCCGTTGGCGGTTGTAAATTCCTGGAGATTTTACAAGTATTCCTCTTAGTCTCCGAATTTCATGAAGTGATATCAGTGAACGTATTTTTACGAGCCCTTTGTGCCACGTTGGACACTGACTTTTTGTGTTCAAGCACAAGGTTAACTACTTAGAATATCAAAGCAATGATGAATTACAGTTTGTTGCATGTGTTGCATTAAAAAAAAATCCGCCAAACTAAATAATAATAAACTGAGTTTCATCCCATCTCCGAGAGTCCCGTAGCTCAGAGATTAGAGCAATCGTCTCGCAAATGACATACCTCGGTTCGATTCCCGGGCAGAGCTAAGATCCTGACTCCCACACGCACCACACACACACACGCGCAGTAAGTAGGAACCTGGTTGTTAGTCGATTGGCGCATTCCCTTTCCGGGGGTAGTAATTCCTTCAAAAAAATAATAATAAATTGGTCACTCAATCCACGACTGTTGCGCGCAATTGGCCGCTGCGTTTGGCCCACAAAATATACAGTCAATTCACTTTACCATATATTCTGTTGAAGCGCTTTGAGACGTCTCGAAGATGTGATAAGGCGCTATATCAAAATGCAAGGATTATTATTTTTATCTCTATTCACTGTTCTATGCGGACCCCGCGGTGCGGTAAAGCCAACGGAGCGTCAAGATAACGTTCCGTCGTTGCAAAACAGCTACTTAACAGCAATACAAAAGTTGTAGGGTTTGGTTTGCTTTGACTTAGTGCGTCTGTCAAACCAACCACTTGTGAACTGTTCCCCAAATGACATGTTGCGCGGAGGTCTGGGGCAGTTTAATTCTCACGATGTTGACGCCGCACACTTTGCTGCCAATGTTCGGCCGTTGCCCTTTCTCTCTCATCAGTGATCCTTCAAAGGAGCTCAAGCCATGTGCAGAAGGGATCCATCCTCTCAGCCGAAGAACCAGAGGTTGCAGCTGTCGCCAACGATGTGGCCTCATCGAAACCCATTTCCTGGCACAAAAGGAGAGCGGTTGCAAAGAGTGGAAATTAGCACAGAGGGCGGTCGATGGAGATGATGGTTGGATGGAGTTGCGGTTGGGTTTTTGTCAGGCACCCCTCCCCTCCCGCCCTCCCAGGCATCAACAACAACCTCACGTAAGTTCACACAGAGCAGCGTCTCGAAAAACGTTTCAACGTGCGCAACGATTCTGAAGCCAATACGTTTGCGCGTTTATTTCCTGTTCTAGAAGTCAAAGTTGTTCACGTTTTAGCCGTTTTGTTCACAAAATGTACAGTTGATTCACTTTACGGTGTATTCCGTGAAGCGCTTTGAGGCGAGTCGAAGACGTGATAAGGCGCTAAAAATCAAATGCAAGGATTATTTTTACCTGCGTCATTCAATTTTCTTGCCTTTGCTTCAATCCCTTTTTTTTAGTCCAAAAAAGGACAAGATTGTTTGTTCACTAAATTCCCATCTTACCGTAAATTCGAATTTGTAAATCGAAATGTAAATTGCATTTTTAATGCCCTCCAAATCGAGAATTTTCACCGCCTGAGCGACAACAGACATGAATTGATTAGCACCGAGAGGAAACAGAGGGAGGTTAGAAGAAACGTCATGACAGAGTTGTTAGAATGTGAATACTTTACCTGTTCAGTACCTAATCACATCTGTGCACAGTTAAAAATCAGGAGTCCTGTAGCGTAGTGGTTTGAGCGCTCGTCTCCCAAGTGAAAGGATCTGGGTTCCAATCCCAGGCGTCCTGACACCCCACACCTCTGTTAACCTCGCAGTAAGTAGGAACCCCGCTGTTAGTCAATTGGTGGGTCGCTTTTCCGGGCATAATAATTCCTTCAAGATAAAATGTGTGAAAATTAGTCACTCAATCCACGACTGTTCGTGGGACGCTGCTGTGCGCAATTGGCTGCCCATTTCGCCCAGAAAATAATCAATTTACTTTACAATATATACTATGAGGCGCTTTGAGACGCCTCGTGATAAGCAGCGATATCAAATTCAAGGATCATTATTATTATTGCCGCAGTGTCCAGTGTGTGGTCTGACACAAGGCATTTGGGCAAAGGTGGTTCTTTGGCTCATTATTATTATTATTATTATTATTATTATTATATATTTCTCCATCAGGAACACGATGGATCCGGGTTCGATTCCCAGGCAGGTTAAAACCTTAGGCAAGTTTCCTTACTCTGAACGCCTCTGTTTCGGAGTAACTAGGAATCCAGTTGTTAGTCAATTGGCGGATCGCATTTCCGGGGGTAATTCCTTCATAAATAAATAATAATCATTTGCTCACCCAATCCATGACTGTTTGTGGGATGCTGCTGTGTGCATTGGCTGTCGCTTTACACCCACAAGATATACAGTCAATTCACTTTACAGTATATTCTGGGAAGCGCTTTGAGACGTCTCAATGAAGTGACAAGGCGCGATATCAAATGCAAGGCTTATTATTACTTGCCACCACTTGACTTAGCTATTATTCCTTAAAGGCCTTTGTTTTCCCAGTTTAAAAAGAAATCAATAAAATGATCCACACCAGTCTTTAGGGACTGATGGGTTAGACAATGAAGCCTTGTGGACATTGCCTTGTTTTGCAAACATCTGGTTCCAATATCGTGTTAGCCTCGCTCGACATCCATTAACCCAGAGCTCAGTAGGGTTTCAAAACTGTCATTTTTTTTTTTTGCCCGTTCGTTGTTGTGATCAGATTATAACGAAGTGAAAGCAAGACATCGGATATGTTGCATTAGTGGAACATAAGCCTGCTCAAGAGGTCACACATGCGTCTCATGCTGTGGGTGGATGGTTCTTTCTAAGAGTTCGCAGCTGAGTGCGACAAAATGATTCATAAAAATCTTCCCCTGTACCAGCTGGTTCAG